GCAGGTTTCCTTCCTTGTCCATATTGGGTGGTCCAAGACCGGCCTAAGCCTAAGTACTACCGAAGATACATAAGAAAGGAAAACCATCTTAGCTAATAGTTGACACTAAGCATCGAGCTGTTTTAAGAGGCGAGAGAAGGATTGAATATGTGGATATGAACATGTGTGTAAATGCCATTCTCTGAAGAAAAGATGGGTTTTAAGGTAGCTCTTGCATTATAATTGTTGAGCCTACTTGAAGTTTAAGTGAACGTGTTTGGTCAAGGGACTTGTAGGTTCATTCTACCAAAAGCTGACGGCGAATTATTTTTTGCTAGCTTTCGATTTGCTTTGCTGGAGAATTCCTGCTTACGCTGTGCCGAGGCAATCTCACTCGAGCAGGCCATCATTCTTAAAACCATATTCAAGCCAACTAGTCAGGAAAACTCACTGGCTAATTTCAAATTAAAGTCCTCAATTCTCTCCTTCGGTTTCGGATGAAGCCAATTTACCAACCCCTTTCTCCCATCCTCTTAGATGCACTGAAAAATACATCACTAAAGCTCGTATATGCCTAACTCTATACTTTCCGCACAAGGTGACCTGCCATTTGGACCATACGTTGGCCCAGCTATCCTCTCTAGTCTCCTAAAACTGCCCATCTGCCTTAAGGTTGGAGTATCTTTTATTTCACTTCAGAAGGTACGTGAAAGAGATCCATAAAATGGCCTTACCGAAAGCCGAAATAGGACTGTATTGAAGTTTTAGCTGTGGATTTATGAGAATATGTCCTCCGCTCACTGTTCTGCGACTCCGATTAATATGTGCTCAGCTCTTGTCTGTCTCGCTATGACAAACATCATCATAATTATAAATCGTGCATAAGAGACATTCACAAATCTCAGGATTTACTGCCCTGACAAAGTCTGTCACATGCTAGATGAAAGAGCAGCAGAAAGTAATTGGGTTGGCAGGACAGTGCATGAAGGAATTAATTGCACAATTCTACAGGTACATCTCTAATATGGTCTCCTTCGGCTTCCGGTAAGGCTATGTTACGGATCCCTTTAACTCCATTCTTAACATAAAGCGAAAGTTAGGCCCACTTTAATCTTAATTTCCCTATATTCTTGCCAGACGTTGCAGATTCTGACCCTACCGATGAGCGGGCTGGCCAGAACCCTCATGTTCGGCTAGCAGGACCGACAGCTTCATTATTTCTTTCCGCTGCAGCAACAACAAATTGCTTTACTGGCCGAGGCCACAGCCGAACTGATCGCCTTTGTCACTGCTCCGACTTTGTTTACAGTGTCCTTGACTCCACCGGTCAAACTGCCTTGGCCAATACCTTGGACTAGTCCGTCTGATCCGGCCATCAGGCTTCACTACACTAATGATAGCTAGGTCCTCCAGACAAACGGTGTTAGGATTTTAGATTGAATCGACTAATATTTTTGAGTCGTATAGAACTTCTAAAAATTGTTATAAATGTCTATTTTCGAAGAGCCGAGTAAGTTGGCATTTCTATTTTTGGTATGTAGAACAATTTGATTTAAAAGAACACCTTAATAGATTGATATTTGAGTACCTCGTGTGGAGAGCCGAGTGGAAGGGATTAGTAGGTTGGCATCACTGATAGCTGAAGGGAGATTTCGTTTGAGTAGTGACTGTAGACTTATGCGAATTTGTCCTTGGCGCACTACCCTGCGACCCCGATGAACCTTTGTTGAGTCTGCGTCCATCATATGACGGACATCGTCAAAATGGGACACTATGCTTAACAATAATTCACCAAGATAGGAAAACTAAGATATTGTGGCCCCTT